TAATGGACACTAGTTCACAAGCAAGAGTCCTTTCTGCGAACAATAACGACCGTCTACAAGAATCGGTCTTCAATATATAGGCGGCAGATAGAGAACCCACCGCCACATACGGTTGGAGAATTGTTTGTTTTAACTATAGTTCACGAAAACGCATTCACTAGATTTTCGTTGTTGAGGGTGTTTCCATATTAAGCACTGATATAGACCTGCTACAACGCCGCAATCTGCAAATTTACCTTGTATAGCCAGAGATGTCGCATACCACGTCACGGCTATAGGACCATCAGTACTTTTTAAAGCACGTCGACTAGCCCCCGTTGAGCTAAAGTTGATCAAACTGGAATTCATTCACATGTTAGATTTCGGAATATCTGATCATCAAACAGACCATTAGTATCTGGAATCTCCTGTTGTTTATTAGAAAATACGCGATTCCTAACGACCACACAAGCTATCGAGTTAGTAGAACTACTTCACTGACGGTTGAAGACTTCACCCTCAGCTGAAAACATTTCACAGTGAACTATTGCTCTTGGTATACGTAAAGCAGTGAAAGCTGACACAGGATGCACTCCAGACCAACTCGTTAACGGAACGACATTCCGATTTCGAAGAGAATTTGTAGATCATTCACCTTTTTCTATAAGTACATATCTAAACTCTTATACGAGCAGTCTTACAAACGCCATGCATTCAGCTAAATATGTATCCGATTGGCCTCAGTCAACTGAGGTTTTCGTTCGAAGCGCTTCACAACTTAGCAAACACATTTTCGTACGTCACGACTCGTTGCGACGACCTCTCGAAATGGAATACGAAGGATCCTTCAAAGTCCTTAATCGTCAACTGAAGTACCATATTATCGATAAAAATGGAACTAACGATAACGCCAGCACTGAACGTCCTGAAGTCGATTACTAAAAACAGTAATAGTACTCGTTTTCTTCTCATACTCTCGAGTGAAACGAGCCACACGATTACGTTGCCATTCTTGATTGTTAACGACAGCGGAGAAACTTCTCCGGCGTCCAGAAATCGGCAAAAAACAACACACCTTGGAATAAGGATGAGGTTCTCAGAACACCTAAACGGCCACTGTGCGTAGGACAATGCATAACTTTTTGTTTTATTTCATTTGTATTGTTGCATCAAACATGAAAAAATCAACTTTGTGCTCTTACTACTATGCTCATATATGCGTATATTTTGGTTCTCGGAAAACGTCCAAAAGATCACTGCGCAAAATATTCTCGCTGTGACATGTTATCTATGCTCATGCATAACAGCTTTTTTCGGACGCATCGTGTCCTCAGGCACAATGACATGCATCTTCACTTTCATTTTTTCCTCTTTAAGGATGGCTGAAAATGACGGAAAACCGACGAAGAATGAGGTGAACAGGAATGTTTCTGTTGCTATATCGTATCACATGTCGCTCTATATTGGAGAAAGATGAATAGATGCTGCTGAACATAACAAGCTATTAGTAGAGTATTTACCAACGAAAAGCCCGTAGGGTTTAAACTGCTGACTGACCATGTCTTAGGGTCGTCAATATCTTACTAGGGGGGGGGGGGAAAGTGAGCTTTATGGCGGCAAATAAACACCCAAAATAAATAGTTCTGCAGGTCACCAGCATTGCTGCTGGCCTCACTAGTTTTACTGAGCACAATTCGGCTGAAGGCGCTCGGTCACGCATATGCAGCAGATCACGAGTGGGTGCGCCGTGCTGCGAATCCCTTGCAGCTGCTAGATATCTCAGAAAAACACCTCGACATATTGATGGCTTTCCTCGACTAAACGGGTATATGATCGTCTGAACATGTAATTCGAAATTCACGGGGGGAGTAAGGTGTATGTAAAAATACTTAGTTCGCTAGATATGTCAGGTTGTCTCACGTAGTTAGTCTCCGCTTGAATGCAAGGGACAAGAGCTGCTGATTGGTTTGGTCTATCGCAGTCCAAGCTGTGAGGTAAATGAAGTTCTGCTGAGCAGTCTCAGTACTTGGTCACAAAGTGGTCGATGTCTAAGCCTAGGGGACTTCAATGCACCTATGGTAGACTGGGAAAATCTGAGAACTGAATCGTCAGAAAATTCCTTCGAGCAGGAACTAGTTGACGCGGTTATCACATGTGCTCTAGTACAATATGTGAAAGAAGCAACTAGGTATGACCCGGACACTGAATCATTCTTACTAGATCTAATACTCACTCATTATGTGAATGACGTTGCGAAGCTTCATTATATGCCACCCCTAGGTAAAAGTGATCACGCAGTTTTAATTTTCGACTTCCATATAACTGTCAGTCCCGAGCACGCGTCAGCCCAATCCAGACGTTAGGTCTGGAAAGCAAATATACCAGATATCATGCACTCAGCATCGTTAGTAGATTGGACAATAGAACCAGAGTCCTCAATTGAAGTGGCTTGGGACGCATTTCGAAATTCATACTTAAAAGTTACCACACCCCACATCCCTTGGACTATACCAAGAGGACCGAGAAACTCCCCACCATGGTTCAGTAGGGAGGTTCGCATTCTTCTCCGTTATAGTTATAGTTAGTAATGATCTCAGAACCACGGATGATTCAGGGGAGGCTCTGGCAAGAGGTTTGGGATATTATAGGCTATTTGTGAAGCGTTTCATAACTTTGATGAAACAGTGTCCAGAATATACTACTTGGCGTACATGAGTCAGAAAATCAGCATGGAATTCAAATGGGTTCTTGTTTCAAATATGAAGCAAACATACATGAGTAGATTCGACCGCAAGAAAAAAAGACTATTTATTTTCGTTCGAGTTCGTTTTATGAAGGCAAAATGGAAAGTTTCGAATAAATTTTGTTCTACTCCTTTACATTAGGAAGTACCCTAAAATCAGTGTGTGGTATTTGACTATAAACTTGAAATTGTTGTCTTATCCTTCTCCGTAAGGGATGAAGAATGTGGGATAGATTTAGGTTACTGGGGACTGATGAAACTAAATCCCTGTATAAAAAAGTCCGGAATACCTGTGCCTCGACCCTCCATAAGTCTAGAAAGTTGTACGAAGAAAAGATTGTTAAGGAATCCATAGAATGTCCTAAACGTTTGTATTCTTATATAAATCAAAGGACAAAGAGAAGAGGAAATATTCCTGCACTATGGGGAGACAGTAATGTCGCATCATTAGTGGAGGACGACTTTGATAAGGCTCAAGTGCTCTCAAACTACTTCAGCAATGTATATACCATAGAAGCACCCTTACCATCAGCATATACAGATCCCTCCACACATACACTGGATGGCGTGACCATTAAAGAAGTCGATGTCTTTGGTCTACTAAATAAGCTTGACATAGGTAAATCCACAGGGCCCGATGAATTGCATCCTAGGCTACTGAAGGAATTATCTAACTTCGTTGCAAGCCCTTTAAGTACATGCTTTAACCTATCCGTTACGCAGGGTCGTTTGCCGAAAGACTGGAAAAACGCCATAGTAAGTCCTGTCTTCAAAACAGGTACGAAACACAAACCTGAGAACTACCGCCCCGTTAGCGTAACTAGTGTGGTTGTTAAAATCTTAGAAAAGATTATTCGGAAGGAGCTGTTTAAGTATTTCGATAAGAATCGGATCCTTTTGGAGAAGCAGCACGGTTTCAGAATAGGTTACTCTTGTCTCACTAACTTATTAGTGGCTCGTGAAAGCTGGTGCGCTCTTAAGGACCAAAAGTTACCCGTAGACGTAGCCTTCATTGATTTCAGCAAAGCTATTGACAAGGTTCCGCACAACCGGCTGTTATATAAGTTAAGAAATGTCGGGATTGGAGGCAATCTATTTATGTGGATAAAAGACTTCTTAGTTGGGCGTCAGCAAAGAGTTTGGGTGAACCCAAAGTTATCTAGCTGGGGAACTGTGCTTGGTGGAGTGCCCCAGGGTACAGTTTTGGGGCCAGTGCTATTCCTCTTGTATGTAAATGACCTTCCTTGTCTCCTATCATCATCGGTCTTGCTATAAGCTGACGATGTCAGGATATGGAGAACGTTACGATGAGAGGGTGATAGCCAAGAACTCCAAAATGACTTGAAGAAATTATCTGGATGGTCTGAAACCTGGCAGTTGCCGATAAATACTTCCAAGTGTGTTGTGATGCATATCGGTCATCAAGGTACAGATACATACACGATGAATTACACTGAGCTACCTGTCGTCCAGACATATGATGACTTAAGTGTCATCGTTAGCCGAAACTTAAAGACTACTGCACACTGCCGTGCAATAGCCGCCAAAGGTTTTAGAACCATATGGTCAATACGTAGGGGTTCTAGTCATGTCGACGCTAAGACGTTTTTGAATTTGTATACAGTGTTCCTACATCCTAAACTTGAGTACTGCATACAAGCAGCTAGCCAATGTTTAAAAAAAGACAGTGAGCTTCTGGAAAAGGCTCAGAGAACGGCGACTAAGCTGATTCCCGGAATAGCGAAGCTTCCGTATAAAGTTCGACTGGCCAAGCTGAACCTTTTCCCGTTGTTATATCGCAGAACTAGAGGCGACTTGATTACAGTCTACAAATTGCTTAGTGATAAATTTGCACCTGATATGCCCTCATTTTTTTTGTCTTCCAAAACAGAGAATTTACGAGGACACTCCAAAATGTTCACAAGCCCAGAACAAATTACTTGTTAGCTCACTATCGACTTTCCCATCGAATCATCAACGAGTGGAATTCATTACCTCAGCACGTGGTTGAGGCTCCATCCGTCGATTCTTTCAAAAGAAAATTGGATCAACTGAGGGACCACTATTTCCAGGACTAACACAAGCCATTGGGCCTCCTGTCCTTCCCAAACTGAAACTGAAACTGTAGTATAAAGTATATGCATACAAAATATTAACTAAGTCAACTATCAACTTTAATTTTGGTGTATAACGTGGTATTTGCAGACCTAATAATGTCTGAAGATGGAAATCCTACAGCTACTAGCCACGAAAGTAAACTATTTGGTTGGTGTGGCTCAGTGTAAAGTAGCTCACTGTGAAGATATTGAAAATCGGAAGCTTTCTGATTCCATAGCGCACAGTTTATGACTAACGAAACATGGTTTCTGTTAATATGATAAGTGCTAAACTATCAGACTTACATGACAACATTGCGAAATTGTCTCATGAATTGGACCTTAAACGTAAGGAAAAGGAGTCTCAAAGAAGTTTTGTTAAAAAGGTAATACGTTCGGATTGTTATCTAGTAGTATAGCTTGACTCAGAAATCAAAGATAAACATAGATTTCTAGATAGCTTAGAACAAAAGCGTGAACAGCATGAAAAAACTATCAGAGTTAATACCGAGCGCCTATGTGAGCTTCAAAAATCAGCTGCTGAGTGTCAGAAGTACCAAATTTATTAAAAATATTCGTTGTAGAGCCCATGAATCTCTAGAAAAACGATTAGAAAGTCAAGAACAATCAATTCGTTCTCTCGAAGATGAAGTTAATGAAGCACAAAGTCTTGCGAAGTCTTCAGCCCATGTTTACGATGAGGTTTTTATAGTCAGTTATTTTGAATTCTTCAGACTCTTAAGTTACTACAAGAAAAATTGGAGATTTTGGAAAAATATGATCGGAAAGAAGAATCCCTTACCAAGTATTACATTCGAACTTTTTAACTCGCCTTTAGGACTATCAAAGAGTTGAGAGATGAAGCTAATTTGCATGGGAACAGACTACGTCGCATTGAGACACAAGGAAACGAGGTTCGATTTACTTGGTTGTTTTTGTTATTTATAGAAATCCTCGCTTTAATAGTTCTCGGAAGTGGCACACATATGCTTGTAAATATGGCTGCTCGCCCTCCACTGCATATAATCTATCTTGGAAGTAGTGGGACTAGATTGGGAGTGCTTCAGCTCAAAATAATGGATTCTTATAGTGTTAGGATTTTCTGAAGTTTTGTTAGTGATAATTTGGGGGTGTATGGGGTACAGACAGATGAAAACGCGTTTACTGCATCCATGATGAAGTGGGACTTATATATGTATATAAATGACAAGTTATTGTTAATTTATTCGTAGATCAAGGAACGAACTTCAACCGATTGAAATTCATCTTTAACCCGATCAAATACCTCATATAAGTGCTGATAGGTCTGCACGTAGTAGATAAGTAACCCTTAACTCAGCCCTAATAAACGTTCTGCACACTACAGTATAGTAGTATTACTGTCTCAGATTTATGGTGTACTCAAAACTGGAGTAGTAGTTCCTGTAGAGTCAAGTGAATTATCTTATCTCTATCTTGTAGTGAATTGCTCGATTTGGCTTGATTAGATCCTTTGGTTTGTAATGAGTTCAGCCAAAAAGCTTTGGATCATTTTAAATGGTCCGAGTATTCACTTTAAATTCGTAGTGTTTTCGTTTAGGTCTTCATTGATTGGAGAATAAGTGACCTAAAAATTAATTCCCTCCAATCGCTTGTAGCATTTTATCGCCCCCAAATGCCTTGGTACGACCGAGGGTGGAAAGAGTCACCTCTCCTTCCCGCAATGCTTTCAAACGACCACGCGTATACAACCACTAACAGGGAAATCCTACTCACTGCCTTCTCGCGGAGGGCGTGTTCTTTACGAAATTGAGAGGACAGAAAGCGAATGTCCGGTGCTTTAACCGGGTCGGTGGATACGGAGGATCCACCTAGGGGAGTTAGAAAACCTTGGTTCCAAACCAATGGTTCACATGAGCTGCAGGATCCTGAAAGAACAAATGGCGTATAAACCAATTGTTGGCCACTAGCCACCATGAGACTGCATCTCCTGACGTTGCTCCACTCCCTTGTGAATTAGACCTTCAGGTCGAAGGCTCGGGGTGTGGCTCTTTAAGAAAACCACCTGTTTCGATAAAGGCACTCAGGCAGTATCCCAGCCCTCACACAAATCGAATGACTTGTGTGGCGCATACTTATTTGGTACCTCTCTGTACCAATATTTGTATTCAAATAAATAAGTAGTATTTTATCGCGTTTAATTTGTGTTTATATCATATATGTAAGCTTTTATTGCACGAAAAACTTCATGTGACTAGCTTTATTGTCTTTGATTTCTAATTGTATGGGGTCCTAATTCGATATGGTCTTGTGAATAACCATTGCTCGGTCACATATCGTTTCTTTCATCTATCGGCCAGCATTCTGTCCATTCATTTTGACAATCGTAAATTCCGTCTAGTCAAGCCATAAAAACATCCTCCATAAAACAAATATAAACCTGTTTGTGTTATACTTATTACAGTACTCTCATTATTCAAGGTTCTGCACTTTACCACATTTTCCACTAAATAGCTGTATTGTTTGGCCATACTCAATGAGGCCAGCATCACATCTAACTTCTCTCTAACTTTTTTAGTATTTTGATGAGTCCATGTCTCGTATGATTTTGTTTGAAAATTGATTTCTTTACAGGCAAATAAACGCATAGAAATGCTGGAGGAAAAAATCAGGGAACTGACAGAACAAATTAATTCCGTAAGTAACTCATGTTTTTCTTATTTACAAGGAGATTTGGGGAGTCTAATTTTGAATTAAAAGTAGAACACCCATAAAAAGCTTATTAGTAAGATTCTATTTCAGCCTTCATCTGCTGACAGCGTTAACTAATGTATATAAGTGTTACTGTTTTGGCCTTTTTGCTGTTAATAATTTTTAGGAAAGCATATCCTTGTATGGATATCTCATGTGTACAAAAGGCAAGTGGTGAATAGCATTCGGGGCTAATTTTTACTGTAAGGTAGTTTATTTTTACTCATCAACCAGGTACGTGTTCATGTGCTTAACTATCAACCACATTGTGATGACTAGCGATACTGTCCGGTTTTTGGATATAAACTAGGTGGATCGAGCTTCGGACCTGTGACTCAGTGGCTTAAAGTCAAACCACTGATCCATCGCTCCATTTACAAAAGAAAAAGTCACAACCTGATGTTTATAGTCATAGTTGCAAATAAAATACCATCGTTTTCAGTCATCTGGCTAATTAATTATCGTTTTTACGACTAACGAAGGAATATCGCAATGATCTGCTTGTTTATCAATACTTTATGCAAGTTTCAGTACGAACAACTGCAGAAATGAAGGTAATCAATCATTTGAAGAGCATCTAGTTTTGCCTTCCACTTTTAATTAATAGAGTTATGACGGTATACATTTTAGACAATCTGCTTACTACTTAAAAGATAATGTACCTCCTAGAAGTATAATTTGTTCAAAGAGCTATATAAATTAACATTTTGAACCTCTATCATTTGGAGTTGGCGAGATGTGTTACATGTTTTCAAGCACCGTCTACCTCAATGTTTTATTATTGGATGTTAAGGAGGGTCGGAAAGTCGCTGTGGTTGACCATTTAAGGAAAATGCTAATCTATAAAAAATAGTCAACTGTTGTTCTAAGCTCAGTAAAATGGGACGAGATTTTGTATTTTATTCTGGAGGAGAAGAAACTGTGAGGAATATATCTTAAAATCGACTGATGTAGTGCGAATACATCAATTCCTTATACCCGCCTTAGTTTTAAGCATATCTTCACACTTACTTACTGTTTTAAGTTGTTCCTTTTGACTTGATCCTCTCAACTCGCGACTGTTGTTAATATTCCTATTCTTCTGCTTGTATGTCTATTCGTTTAACTTTCTCTGTCTTAATTTAAACCTGAGAAAATTCCGAAAGTTCATGGTTTTGTTATCTAAAATGTTTAAAAGAAAATAAACTTTCTCAACATTTTAATTTCATACAATTTCATCTAATGTTTTGTATCTATATAAATAAGATCAACCTCTAAGAAAATGATTAAAGCAAACATTACCTCTTGTATTACCTAATAACAAAGTTATATAGGAACAAAAATCGAAAATCTTCGTAGAATACTACTCGAAGTAGCCACGTAAAATTATAACATAGCTAAAGCTACATAATGCAACTCATTTACTAAGTACTTGTTTGTGTTTGACTTGGAGTGTTTGTTTATGTAGTATCTAGTAGTATTACCATGTTGCCCTCACCTAAGTAGATAGAAAGGCACTTCAAAGTGAGGCAAAGTATAAACCTACTGATGAAACTTCCTCGACTAGATCTGATTTTCACAGATTTCTCGGATTCAGTTCTGATAGCTATGATAACTTAGTAGGTGACTTACTACTTCAGTCATCCAAATTTTTCAGTTTTCATGCCATCTTTACCTTTGTTTTTGTTTATAAACTTGAACAATAGGCACTCTGTATCGTTTAAATGTAGCTGTTTGACTACCGAATTGTAAATAATGTATCAGTCGTAATAACAAAACTTGGAAGATTACTCTGGGCTTCTAGAATGAATTCATCGATGACTACTTCGATCTTGCACCTCATAAGTCAAGGCTCCCAAAATTCACTGATATTTAGAGTCCATACATTAGTCTACCTTTCAGGGTGCTGGTAGTAGATAATTAAAGCTAGCTGAATGGGTCTCCGAAGTGTCCTGTACTTTTATAACAACCTTAATTTCGCTTGCCCATTAGTCTTTGTTTAATTTGGAGAGAAACCAGACTTTAAATATCCTACGGTCTCGATGTGCTAAGTTACCTAGTTCAATCCTGACACTTGTAACCCATGATTTTGGTTTGTGACTGAACAGCTCCGAGGGCAGATAAAAGTAGAAACATCTTATCACTGACCAGTGACCTGGCTGGTTGCCACGGATAAAAAATAACTATAGCCCGATTTACCTGATTCTTTTAATTCAAAAAGGTACATGGACAAATAAGTGAATAATTGGGTCACAATGTCAATGAGTGAGATCAGTATAATATTGCAGAAACAGCATAAAAGGATCTTGTTTAAATTGCAATAATCTTGTAATGGTAGGTAATATAACACTAATTTGTAGGTCAAGGGAAACCCTATGATGCGTTGGATAAATTAGGCACATAATTAAGTGTTTGTAATTCACAGATTTCGAGGTAAGTGAAACAATACTCCCAGAAATAACTCACTGTTTGTCATTTCTTCATTCGTCTCTTCACTTCTTTCCGATTACGACGTAACTGGATCTATCTGTGTGTGTGTGATTATCTCACTACCAGCCTCTTAATCAGTTTAGATAACTGTTCACTTCTACGTGTAACTGGTATTGTTGTCCTCATCTATTAATCTTACTGTCAACTACTGATCAGCACAGAAAAACATACATTCCTACAGCCTTCATATTGCAGAGCATTCGGAGTTTTCATATATTCCTGATTTCGGCCGTTAACCTTGCAAATTTACTGTTATAATAATCACATCATATTCTTTGACCATTCACAGGCAAAGAATATCAGAAATACGCTTTGTTTGATAATCACAAGATGAATCGTTTGTATATAAAGAAGATCAGCCAAATCTAAGGTGGAATGATACTGTTTTATATCAGTAGTTATTAACTACAAATTTGAACAATTCAACCAATTATCCAAACAATTTATCATTAACCAAGTGTGGTTAGTGATTATTGCCTACATAGTAACTTCATGTTATTTAGTGATTTTGACAACACTAAATTAACAAACATTCATTTACTGTGTTTAACCTTGACCTCCATATTTTGTTTTCCTGCCAACTCTTAATAGTCTTTTCCATTTGATCATTGATTAATTTATCAACTGTACATTTTATGGAAGGGTTAGTCTCATTAACCCACTGTTTAAATCATGATAAATACGGAGGGGCATGAATCTAGTACCTGTTAGAAAGACAATTGGTTCAATCACCAAACCATCTGTGTACATTAGAAGATCATATCCTGGTTCTTTCAAATAGTTTATGATAGTAACTTGAGTACATTAGTGTTTGTGCCGTCGTCGGTGGACAGTATGAATATCGCTCGAAACATCATTACTTCCTGGGCGTAAAATTCATCCAAAGTCAGTCATTCAGCTACAACGTAGGACCAGGCACAACTATGCATCGGTCCAAGTTGCCATACCGCATTAGCAAAGCAAGATTAACACCGGATTCATAGAAGTAGTTAATTCAATAGTGGTAATATATAAAAAAGGATTGCATATAAGGACATAGTATAGGAAGAAAGAAATAGTTGATAGAAAGAACTACATGAAGCGATTTTAATCTCATACTTTAAGGGAAGACAGAGAGCAATAATGGTTTTCCTTGTGCAGCAATTGTGACACTGTGTGACTCCGTATAATAGTTACGTTTTCTTTCTGGTCATAGTTTACTAGAATATTCTTTATTATCTACTTCTTTCCATTGTATACTTAGGGGATCACAAAAATAGTTCTTCATGTTCGACAGAATATCTCTTGAACATTTGTTTTCACCATAAAATTTCCATGATGGCCAGATTATATGTTGCATTAAATAGCTTATTTTTAATAGTTGAAGACCACTCAATTAAGAGACCTATAAACTGAAGACATGAATAATAACAGTAACATGATTCATTTACTAAGTACAAATTTCTTTGCTTAACTTTAAGCCTCATGTTTTTTGTGTGAGGGTTAGTGTTTCTATCGTGCTGTTCCAACTGACGTCTATAGTGTTTGTTTATTATTATTTATTATTTATTTGAACACATAAATATTGGTACAAGACAGCGCCAATATATATGCGCCACACTCTATGGTGTTTGATTCTGAACCTGTCACCTATTGGTTAAAAGACAACTGTATTTTAGCCACTTATGAACCGCTCTCCAGAAGACAGTGTCCCAATACGTGCTATACATTAAAGTTGTTGTTACATCTTTCAGCTATTAAAATAAGTGATTTTTACCTCATTTGGTAAGTTTATTTCAACAGGTGGTTAAAAGAGTATGTTAGCATTTGACTCCAAAACACAGTATAATAAACGTTTGAAATGCCATCATTCGACAAGCACTAATATTGTTTATATAAAAAGCACTTAACTTGTTTATTTATCAGAAGCAGAACAACGAAAAGTCCATGCAAGAAAATCTACCACACTTCACATAAACGGCATATCCTCTTAATTAGGTCTAGATTTTTAAATGCTGTTTGTATGTCTTTAATTAATAAGTTAAACATGTAAATGTTTTCGCTCTGTCAAGGAAGTCCTACTTACTGCCTTTTCGTGGTGGGGTTGTTGTTTACAGAATGGAGATGACGAAAAAACTATGTCCGATGCTTAAACTAAGTTAGTGCGTATGGCGGATGTACCTAAGGTAGTTAGAAACTCGTGGTTCTGAATCAATGGTGCACATGGACTCTAGGGTCCTGTGGCAACAAATGGGATATGAACCCATTCTTGATCACCGGCTACAATAGAATCTCTTTTCGTAACGTTGCTCCACTTCTTGTTTATTAGACCTCTGGGTCAACACGTTCGATTAGTGACCCCTAAGAAGATCACCTGTTTCGGTTTGCATACTCAGACAGTACTGCAGTCCATTTTATTTATTTATTTAAACCTATAAACATTGATACAAAGAGGCACCAAATAAATATGCACCACACAAGTCATTCAATTTATGTGAGGGCTGGGATACTGCCTGAGTGCCTTTATCGAAACAGGTGGTTTTCTTAAAGAGCCACGCCTGGAGCCTTTGACCTGAAGGTCTAATTCACAAGGGAATGGAGCAACGTCAGGAGATGCAGTCCCATGGTGGCCAGTGGCCAACAATTGGTTTATACGCCATTTGTTCTTTCAGGATCCTGCAGCTCATGTGAACCATTGGTTTGGAACCAGGGTTTTCTAACTCCCCTAGGTGGATCCTCCGTATCCACCGACCCGGTTAAAGCACCGGACATTCGCTTTCTGTCCTCTCAATTTCGTAAAGAACACGCCCTCCGCGAGAAGGCAGTGAGTAGGACTTCCCTGTTAGTGGTCATGTGAGAGCATTTCGGGAGGGAGGGTGGATTCTCCCTACTCTTGACGGTACCGTGCACAAATCCATTGATTTGTATGGCGCATATATGCCTATGTTAATGTGTTTAAATAAATGAAGACATATATATGTATGTGTAAATCCAGCTATAAATCCTCAAATTTTAATTGAATTTATAGGCTACTCAACGAGCTGTTCGTGCAGAAGAAGAATCTGAAAATCTAGCCGGTGAATTAACAATTCTAGAAGGTTAGTAAAATAGACTTATGGATAAATTTCAGTTCATACATAATACATACGTTTATTTACATTGTTTTTACAGTCGAGATCATGAACTGATCTTAAATACATTATTACCACCAAATTTTATTATTATATCCATTGTTTGTATTCATTTAAAAAGAGATAAGACAATTTGGTAAAGAAAATTTTCGGTAAGACTATAATTTATGGATGACCTTTGAGTGACGCTGAATTGACCTTGAAAGTGTCCATCTAGTAACTAGGTCTAATTAAAGGTTATAAACCTGTGTGGGGAATTAGATTTTGGGTTTTCGTCACGACCTGACATCAGCTTTAATTTCAAAACTATGGATGAGTGAATTTCTCGCCAAAAATCCGAAACCTGTTATCTTACACCTGATTAGTTCTCCCTTGAATTATAGTCTCGCTAAATTTTCTTTTTAACGATATCATTTACAAAAACTGTAAAATCGTATTTATAGTCTATTGAAGATGATCACATCATACCATGTGTCAAAGAAAGTTGCTTAATAATCGAGAATTAACAAGAGGTTATAATATTAAATCAATTGTGATTTGGATCATTGTCTACTCGAAGAATTTGAAAAGGGTGAAGAATCAATCCCAAACATGAAGGTGATAACAGCGAATGATTAAAATTAGGAAGTTTAAAAACATTGGAAGGATGTAATAATATCAAATTACCGTTTATGAAAATAAAGTGCACACAGAGTTTAGGTTTGAAAAAAAAGTGGATTGCTAGCGTTTCTGTATTGCTCCTTTTGATGAATGTAATCGTCGACCTGTATAAATGATTTTACAGGACTTATCAGATACGGCTATGTGACCAAAGTTCACAAGATGTTCCACTATTGAATTGTTTATTCCATTACACTCACTTTTTGAAGGTCACACAGGTTAATGTTTAGCGATGCGTTTAGAAAGCGTTCACTTTGTATGACCTATGCAATCTACTCCACAAGAACAAGTGAACTTATAAATACCTATATTCTTTGTTTTCAACTTATTGGTTATTGAACCATTGCTCTTTCGGTTGTTAACCTAAACAAATACAAATTTGGATGCGCACTGTTGAGGAGTCCCATACTAGGACGAAACGGCCGTCCAGTGCTTCCAGGTTTTCCATGGTGGTCTAGCTTCAATTGACTCATGATTTCAACCTGTGAAATATAATTATATCAAATTGTCATGTTTCAGACATCATTAAAACAAAACTGATGGCTTGTTATTCCGATTTGAATCAATAACTGTAATGTATAGTTATATAACTTATTTCGCTATCTAGTTGACTACTATTATTGGTTGATTATCGTGTTGAATTGTTTCTTTGCAAGTTGGTCAACAATCATAAGCAACGTGGAATCTAAAAGATATGTGTATTGAATCAAGTTACTAAACCATGAGCATAGCGCTGATGAAATTATCAAGACAAATGCTGGATAGAGTAGTATATATAGTGACAATATTACTAATAGTAGAAAAGATAAGACATACAATATGCTTTCAGAAAAAAAGTATGAATTTTTGGAATGAGAACGAAGTATATGTTAGTTTTGAAACTTAGAATTTAAGGGAAGATTGAAAGTAAATTCATCCGTAGATTCCGACTGATTCCGAACTATTTTATTCCAAACCATTGGTTAGAGTAATCATGTTGACCATAACCAAGTAGTCAGCATCTGCTGACATGAATCAGTTCAATAGTTATTGACTTTATGGACTAATGACCCGTTCTGGTTTGCTCGCTTTTTTTCTAACTTACACATACATCAACAAATATCGCTTATCAAGGTAGGCGATGTCAATAGTTTTCAGTGATTAGTTTTATCTAAAGATGATTTATGTCATGTATTGATCCTAACTTTGAATCCATTGAACACTATGGGGTACAATAGCTGTTTTCTTTTTACTACCAATGTTTAGACACTTTAGCTAATGCACGTTAATGATCTTAACATAGATTAAATTCAAGATTTCTAGCTCTTTTTGTAAGCGGAAAATTTTCACACCACATTTTCAATTTTAATTAGTACACTCAGTATTGCGTCAGTCAGTCAGTCAGCTACAACGTAGGACCAGGCACATATGTGCATCGGTCCAGGTTGCCATACCGCATGAGCACAACAAGATGAACACCGGATTCACAGCAGTGGTTAGGTCAAAAGTGGTAATATATAAGAGAAAGGTTGCCTATAGAGATATAGTACAAGAAGAAAGGATTGGTTCGTAGAAAGAAAGATATGAAGTGATTTTAATCTCTTAGTTTAAGGGAAGACAGGGAGTGTATACACCGACGCCATTGTGATCGATTCTGAGCCATGTCACCAAGAGTCTCCAACCATTGGTTACGAAAGTCACGCGGACCCCAACCAAGTAGTCTGCATCAGTATTGCATAACCATCATCAATTATGACCACTTCGTTCCAGACATTATTGAAATCTATCAATTATTATTTCATAGTCAATGATAAAAAGAGTCCCATGCTAAAACTTGAAACAATTAGTTATGTTGAGTTGTTTGGAGAATCGTGATCGGTGGCCTATGCTCCACTAGGGATGATAGGCCTTAGTAAGTAAGTGATTATGTTGTGCCCCAGTTCTCATGCGTTTTAAATAGTTCTCTACTTGATGTTGTCATTTCATGACAATGTTTCATCCTTGTACCATGATTTAATTGGTAGAGCCTAGCATTTAATAAAATAGATAATTGTTAAGTTTCTCAAAAGTCCTTATATGCAATCTTTCTTTTACATATTACCACCTCTGAATTAACTACTTTTATGAATCCGGTGTTCATCTTGTTTTATTAATGAGGTATGACAACTTGGACCGATGCATATATGTGCCTGGTCTTACGTTGTAGCTGACTGACTGAATGTTTCTGCAGCAATTTGGAAGGCTCTCCCGGTGTCCCACATTGTACGAACATTCCATGTACCTAAATAAATGGTCGCTCTGTTTGTCAGAAGGGGCATCGGCCTCGTAACTTCCGAAGGAATTCGGCTTTCATCATGAGGCGTCATAATTCTTCTAAACGAAGACCTTCTGACTCCCAGGGCAGAGTTTAAAAGGTTTGAATATTTTTTTCTGGTTAGCGTTTTTTTAGCGAGTTAGTTTTCTACGGGATGGGGACGCTAACCCCATGCCCAACCCTCCTCCTTTATCCGGGCTTGGGAACGGCAGTAGCCCCTGGAGGGACTTCAGGCGGAGTTGACTGATTGTTTACTTACTGATTAAGATGATGATACACTATTATTGTTAGATTAAGAGAAATAGAGGAACAATTGTCTTTATTCGTATTCTTCTTTTTTATTTTAATCTCTTAGACGAAGCAAATGAATGGAATGAGAAATCAAGTAATGTTCAAGAACAAATTAACATGGTTCGAATCACTATCAGTGAAGCTTAATTATCACTATCTACTACTACTACTACTATTGGATATATAACTCGACCATACTCTCTACGACATCTTTTTGTTCCTATGCGCTGTTGTTAGGACATTTTAATTGATTTTTTTTAAGAGTTAATTTAGTGTTTTTATGAATTTCGCTACTGATTTTTTTTCCTATTTCTTTCGTGCACAATTTCATATCGTATTTTTTCTTTCTGTCTCCATTGAATACTTAATATTATTATTATTTCTATTATTAGAAATGTAATTCGGTGCACTCGGAATAGTGTATACACATTCACATTCCTTGAATTATAAGCGACTCAATTCATTTCATTTAAGCATCATTAGTATTGATTCCAATATACACATTTTTGGTCTTTTATTTCTTTTCGAAAAAAAGAGGTGCTTTTTGCTTCGTTTGTTTGTTCGTTGTTTTTTTTTTTGCTTGTGAAAGATTGTTTTCTTTGTCACTCCATTTGTATTCACAACATTGTGTATGCCTTTGTTCAAGTGACAAGTAATGAATCTATTTAAACAATATTGATAACAACATAAAATGAAGCTTATATTGAACTTAGTGTTTTGTAATTATTCCATGTTATAGTTAGTATATATTACCCATATGTTTACCATTACTGTTTCTTTTAGCTGCACTCCATCGAATAATAATAATATTGTTAGGAAACGGGTACTAGGTAAGGATGGCAAACCAATTGATGAAGTGGTGGAACTTCACCAGTTGAGATGGCTGGGACACGTGTTACGTATGCCCAACCACCGACTGCCTCGACGTGCGATGTTCAGTGGTATAGGAGTAGGTTGGAAGAAAGCTAGAGACGGCCACACCAAAACATGGCACAAATCCATGAATTCACTGACAAGTGGACTGAGTCATGTTGGTAGGTGTAGACTACCTGGTTGGGGACCGCGAGATGAAAGCAACCAATGGTTAGAGACCCTGAATGACATGGCTCAAAATCGTTTTCAATGGCGCAGGTGCATCCACTCTTTGTGTTCTCCCAGATTCTAATCTTCTGAATTCTTCATGTCCCTTTTTTCCTCTTTCCAAATTTATTTCACTGGATTATACTCTTTAAATAACATCTCCAAACCCTAATCTTCCCGATTACTGCTTATAGTCTTACCGCCTCTACCACTATGGGATTTGAATCGACAACTGCATCTCTGTGCTAAGGTGGTGTGGCAACTCGAACTGATCTACGTACGTACGAAGTTCTACGTTGTTACTGACTGACTGACTGTTTTCAGTTACACAGAAAGTACAGTTTTAGATTATCATATAAGTTATAATTATGTTTCAATCACCCTGAAATACAACAATGTATTCACGTAAACTATCACTTGCAAACCATATTTTAACTTGATTCCATGACGAAATTACATCACTGTTACAGTAAAATCAATCAAGTAAACAGAGAATAAAATAACATGAAATACAACTCCGTTAAAATGTCTTTTCTTTTTTCTAATGTCAAGAGAGAAATAAAATCATTGTTATATTCTAACAAATGAACATCATGATCATTGAACATCTATCTATATGACGAAATCAATCAGTCATTATAATAATCTAGTTGAATTTGTTCACAATAATAATGATAACAGGTTTAAAAGACTGAATACTATACTGAAATTATATCACACGAATGTATTTCTGTTACTATGGATTATCATTTATGTATATCTAAAGATATTAGAAGGAAGAAATATGGAATTCTAATTAAAATGCTAAATAAAGAAGTCAAAAAAATGAAGCTATAAAAGACAACACATAATTCATTGTAAAATATCACATAAATAATTCATACTACTTAATTATGATAATAAGTAATATAAATATAGTGAAGAGTATTTTTTTATCGCGAAAATTTGAAAATCATGATAAAATTTATTTTGTTAAAATATTTTATGATAAATTCATTCAAAGTTTAAAATATTTTTGCTAATATAGATTGACTCTTTGGTGTTAATGAAGGTATTGATATATTATTATCTTGAAGTAGTTGTTCCAATTCATAAATACGTTTCAATGAAATATGATGAGCTTCTTTTAATGATTTCATATTTCTTTCATGTGTAGCAGTAACAGAAACAATGATAGCTAAAAAAAAGGCGATACAGTGTATTGATATAAAAGGAAAATAGAGAATTTGGTTTACGATCTTATATTAAACAGAATAAGATTCATAGATCTAAAACCACTTTACTAAATATCAACAAAATTTTGTCATATGAAGTTGTTTTTGATTTCAGGAAATATTTTATTATTGTTTATTTAGTTGTTACTGAAATTAATATTAAATGAAGTGGAATAAAACCCTTGATCTACACCTTAAACTAATTGGTACTCGTCCCCCACCTTTCAGGGTGTACTTACAATCTTCAGAGAACTGATGCTATATAGATCACAAATTGTCATAGCCTAAGGTGTTTTAGATTAAAATCACGAACCGATTGATGTTAGACCACCATTGAAAACATAGTAGCACTGGATGGACGTTTCGTTATATTGTGGGACTCTTTAGCAGTTCTGACTCACGATCCCACTTGCGGGATCCGAACCCAGGGATTCTAGTCTGGCACACGAATGCTTAACCTCTAAAATATTACATCATGTAATAATTGAAGTAATTGATGGTTTAAGCTGTTTATGACTAGTTAGTCCTTTTGGTCATGAATCTCTTCGTAATCATATTTTATGATTGTAGACTTCAGTTAATGTAATTTAAAGTCGATTTCACCGCAACACAGTTATTTTTTCTGTTTTCTTCCTTTCAAATCTTAAGTATTAAAATTATTTCACACGTTTAATTTATTAATTCCATTTGCTCTTTTCGGATTATATTCATCATTTTTACAAGCAATGATATAGATATTACATTAGTTCCTTTATTTTACCTTATTAATTTCTTATGACTATGGGCTAATGAAGATTCTGACAAAATTTGCCCAAGCATACTTCTGATGAGGTTTTACTATATTCTTTTTGTCTGACTGAATATCTTTTAGTGTTGTTCAATATCATATTGTTTTGTACAGACTACAATTTGAACCTCGATTGATAAATTCTAACATCAATCGGTTCATGATCTCAATCAAAAAACTTAATAATCTGAATAACCCCATAATGATAATTACTATATGCTCACTAGTGACTAGCTTCGTAGGGAGCTCTCGGAGTTCTAGTGAGAAGCCATGACCAGCGAAGCTAATCCGTGTCAAGTAGAGATAGGTATCTACCTTAGTACGATAGATGATTGCGCGATGTCGTAGATTGATTGAGGTTAGATATAAACACCTTTGGATGTTGACCATCTCAATGGTTTAGAGGTTAAGCATTCACGCATGAGACCCTAAATGCTGGGTTCGAGTCCCGCGTGAAGGGTCTTGGATACGCAATATTGACTAGTCCAATACTAGAACGAAACGGCCGTCCATTGCTTTCAATTTCCTCAAGGTGGTCTAGCTTTATTTGACTCATAAATTCAACTGTTAAATCAGTCAGTCAGTCAGCTACAACGTAGGACCAGGCACATTAATAATAATAATAATATATATGCATCGGTCCAAGTTGCCATACCGCATTAGTACAGTAAGACGAACACCGGACTCATAGGAGTGGTTAAGTTAATGGTGGAAATATATAAACGAAGGATTGCATTTTAGGAAGTAGTACAGGAAGAAAGAATTAGTTGATAGAAAGAACGACATGAAGCGATTTTAATCTCTTAGTTTAAGGGAAGATAGAGAGTGTATACACTGACACCATTGTGATCGATTCTGAGCCATGTCACCAAGAGTCTCCAACCATTGGTCACGATAGTCACGCGGACCCCAACCAAGTAGTCTGCATCTACCAACATGGCTCAGACTAGAAGTTAGTGACTTCAAGCACTGATGCCACGTTTTGGTTTGTCCACCCCTAACTTTCTTCGAACTGTCTCCAACACTAATGAGCATTGCGCGTCGTGGTAATCGGTGTCCAAGCATACGTAACACCGCGGCCCAATCATTTTAGTCGATGAAAATTCACAACCTCATTAACTGATTTATCATCATTCCATAATACCCTGCGTCTAACCTCATTATTACTTACCCGGTGATCCCAACAGATGCCAGCAATATTTCTAAGGCATCTGTGGTCGAATACTAGTAGCTTACGAGTATCTTCTACTCTTAATGACCACGTTTCGCTGTCGTAAATTAAAACAGAACGGACTGCCGCGCAGTATACTCGTCCCTTATTTGATAGACGGATATCTCGCCTTCGCCATAGATGATGTAAGTCAAGCGAGCTTTTTTGAATCCGTGCTGAGATTTCATCAGACACCAACCTATTGAGGCTGATTTGTAGTTAAGACATCTAAACAGTTTACCAACTTTAATAATAAACAAATAAAGAAACAAAAAAAACAAAACTAACAAACAAACTTACAATTCACAATACGTATTACACGCCATAGACGAAATAATACTAATAAACCAGCAGCATCAGCAATTGTTGTATTCAATGTTTGTTCTAGATTATCATCTATTGTATATTCATTCATTGTATTATTCATTTTATTCAATTTAGTTTCTATAATATGTCGATGGATATTATATGTATCTACTGTAAAACTAATTATACATACGAATACATCTAATAATTCAATCCATTGATATTGATAAAATTGATAACCAAATGTCCATAATTTAATTGGAATTTCAATAAGAAATAATAAAATGATTGTATAACTAATACATTCAAATATAAATGAAGTGAAATTAAGACGATAACGTAATGGGCATGGCTATGAAAAATAATTATCGGGAAAAAAAGAAAAAAAGGGGAGGGGGGAGGGAGGGGAACAAACACCAAAAAAAGGGAAAGAGGTCAGTTTTAATGTTTGTTTAAATTATTGTTATGTAATAGAATTGCAAAAAAAAATTTTATATTCAGATGAATATACAGTATGTTTTAGTTTTGAACGTTTTAAACGTTATTTCAATGGTTAAGATCATGAGTTAATTGAAGTAAGACCACTATGGAAAACCTGGAAGCACTGGACAATCGTTTCGTCCCATTGTGGGACTGCTAAGCAGTGAGCATTTACGATTTCGCCACCTGTGAGATTCGAACCCAGGACCTACTGGTTTCGTGTGCGACCACTGAGCCGGTATCCAACGGTGTTAACTTCGGTTAATTCACGAAATTGAGCGAAACATTCACCATTGTCTTCAGTGAGTTACTATCTTACAATGTTAAACAAGTCTGAATTATAAAGATAAGTTAAATTTTCTTGATGAATTAGCATTGTACATACTGATTGATATAGGTAACTCACATAAAACTATCTTTGGATTTCATATTTGAACTGTTGTTGCTACCTTGATGTGTTGGTCGAGTTTGTCTATAGGAATGAACTAAAAGAGCTATACTAGCTGGAACAATCGTTCCTTTAGGATCTGCCATGTCAGATAGGTTGGTTGAAGATTAGTAAGACTAAAGGCAACAAACCCAAGATCTGAAGGCGAAGGCGTACTGCTGAATGTACAGAGGTGTGATAGCAGTGAGATGTTTCTTCAGACAACCAGTATAATAGCGATGCTGCCTTCCCACAAGGATGAGTGGGGTTATAAAAGGTCGACCGTAAAAATGCACACCTAACCTTATCCCACGGATATCCGTCTCCGGTGGTAAGGTCTCAATAAGTACGGAGCTAGCATGAAAATTACTCTCAAAAAGATCGTTTGTGACCGACCTCAAGCAGTTGTCCCTTGGACACTGCAGTCACGCTCTCACGTCAGTAAGACCACCTCTAACCCAATTTCCTTTTCATGTACATCTATAAGAACAATTCAACAGTGTGGAAAACCGGAAAGTAATAACCGCTCTCATAACTCTAGCAGCACTCAAGATCACTATAATCATAACCAGTCTCCCTTCAATCAACTAAGTAAAATACACTGATCTTGACGAACAGCTTCATGATAATAGTCAGCACTCAGTGATCAGTCAATTGTATAAAGGAATCCTCATAAAACTGTACGAAAATCTTTCAGAGGGTTAATATGAATATACACCAATTTAATAGTTCACATTCTGAACTGTTAAGCGATATCTATAAATTCAATCGTTCAATAATATACTGAAACTTTTTTGATTGTATCTGATAATATTTTAAACTTCGTCGACACTACTGCGTGCCCGAGAAGAGATTCAATATCATACGAAATCCCTATGATAGATTAAACTGCAAAATCGTGCATGGAGGACAGCTTACAGACTCGTTCGAAGTAAAGACCGGTATCACGCAAGGTTTCTTACTGTCACTCTTTCTCTTTCTCCTACTAAGTGACTGGATCATGAAGACGTGAACATCTGAGAGGAAGCACTGAATACAATGGACAGCTAAGATACAGCTGGATGACTTCGCAGATGATCTTGCTCTTCTATCACACACGCAACAACAAATACAGGAGAAGACGATCACACCAAAGGAGAAAAGAAAGTCCAAAGTAGAACACATTACGTTAAGAAATGGATACCGACATCAGAAGAATGAAACAACACTTGGATAGAACTAAAAAGGAAGGTTCAGCACAGGATGTACTGTAGAATACTGATCGACTGTCTGTACTACTTTGCGGAGTAATAGGCTTAAGTAAGTAAATAATTGAAATTTCATTTTCATTTTTATAAACTACAATTAATAAGTAAAATTCATTATGTATTTATGTATTTTTAATTTCTCATCTTTAATCTTCATAGAACATTGTTTAAAGAAAACTCTGAACATTTCGTGTTACCATTCGAAATTCAATAATAAACGGCTAAATATTAAAACATATTCGTGCATTCAAATCTTCTATTCAATATTGACCTAGATTTTCAGGATTCAAACTGTGTGTGTGTGCGTGCGTGTGTGTGCGTGTGTGAGCGCGTGTGAGCGCGTGTGTGTGTGCATTTCTGTTTTCCCGTTATTGTTGCTGTTATTATTGTTATTCCTGTTTTATTCAAGTTAATTAAAGATTAAAAACAGATTAGATAAATCTAGAAAGAAGAATTAAATAAATGAGATAACGAAGAAAAACGAGAAAAGAAAAGAAAAGTAAAGTAAAGAAAAAAGAAAAGAAAAGAAAAGAAATAAAGAATCACAAAAAAAGAATAAAGAAAACGAAAAAGAATAAAAAATGTTGACCGAAAAACTAATTAATTAAAGAAAAATAGAATTTTTTTTCTTTCCTGAATTAGTTCTTTTCTCTGTTTTGTTTTGTTTTGTATTACATCATCACCTTAATTTTCTATTAAATAGAAAACGGTTTTTAGCATAGAGATTAATAATAATGATAAGTTATGAGTACAAATATCAGTTGATTATTATTATTATTAATTCATTATTACCACTATTATTATTATTACTATTACTATTATTATTATTATTATCATTATTAGTATTAGTATCAGTATTACTATTATTAATGTTATTATTATTATTAGTATGAGTATTATTGCCATTATTATTAATATTATTATTACTGCTATTATTAGCATTATCATTATTATTACTGTTATTATTAGTATAAGTATTAGTATTAGTAATAATATTATTACTATTATTATTATTACTATTACTATTATTATTATTATTATTATTATTATTATTATTATTATTATGAATCACCTAGATATTTGAACAAATAACACAGATTAATATAAATGAGGAATATTTCATTAACTGGAAAATTGTCTTTCTTTCTTTCTTTCCTTTTCTTCTAATCTGAGTTCATATGAATGTTTAAAAGAAGAGAAAAGAAAAATAAAGAAAATTTAAAGAAAAGATAAAAACTGAAATGAAAATATTTGGGTATTTTTCTTTTTCAGAATGAGTTTTGTGGAGATTTTAGTAAATTTCACAGGTTGAAATCATGAGTCAGTTAAAGCTAGACCACCATGGAAAACCTGGAAGCACTGGACGGCCGTTTAGTCCGATTGTGGGACTCCTCAGCAGTGCGCATCCACAACATCGCCCCCCTTCGGGATTCGGACCCAGGACCTACTGGCTTCGCGCGCGAGCACTTAACCACTAGACCACTGAGCCGGCATCCAACGGTGTTAATGTCTAACTTCAACCAATCTACGAAGTTGCGCCACTGAACACCATTGTCGTTCGTGGATGCGCACTGCTGAGGAGTCCCATACTAGGACGAAACGGCCGTCCAGTGCTTCCAGGTTTTTAATGGTGGTCTAGTTTCAACTGACTCATGATTTCAACCTGTGAAATTTTTCTTTTTGTTGTTGATAAATCTTATCTTATTTAATTTAAATAAGATTTTTATATTCAAAAGTAGATATTCTTAATTCACATAATAGAAGTTATAATTAAATATAGCAGAAGATGACCGGTGTAACAGCAGCCTCAACAGCAGTGAGTCTCAACATACACAAAGGGAAATGTAAGATTCTCTGATACAACACAGCATGTAACAATTGAATCACACTTGATGGAGAAGATGTGCTAGAAGTAAAAACCTTTACATATTTGAGCAGCATCATTGATGAACACTGTGGATCTCATGCAGATGTGAAGGCGTGGATCGGCAAATTTACAATCGAAGAATATCTGGATCTCGAAACAACTGTCAACCAAAACCAAGTTCAGAAAATTTCAATACAAATGTGAAAATAGTTCTATTGTGTTGGGTGGAAACTTTGAGAACTACGAAATCCATCATTCAGAAGATACAAGTGTTTATTAGCAGTTGTCTACGCAAAAAATACTTCGGATCCGTTGACCAGACACTATCAGTAACAACCTACTATGGGAGAGGACAAACCAAATCTCAGAGGAGTAAGAAATCAACAAAAAGCACTGGAAGTGGATAGGATACACACTGAGGAAATCATTCGACTGCGTCACACACTAGAAATCCTCAACACCAAAGAACACATTACGTCGAGAAATAGACACAGACATGAGAAGATTGAACAAAAAATGAATAGAGCTAAAAAGGAAGGCCAAGGATTTTGTTAATTTCGTCTTATTGTACCAGTGTGACGTAATAATTTAGACCGATTTATATTTGTGTTGACTTTTACACTCATTATGAATGACTAGATTGTTTATTACATTGTATAAACAGTATTTAAACATTACATTTATATCAGTATTATTTCAGTGGCATTTAACTTAATAAATGATAGGTGATACTACAGCCGAGTTACATATAAGACAAATCATCAGTGGAGACTACTTAAGTGCATACACTATTAATGAAGATTCGACTTTATTTTTTTAATTAAAGAGACCTATATTGTTGGTCTAATATATAATCCCCCCTTTTTTTCTAAGATACATATCTATGTTTATGGATGAGTTGTGCATAAATTATCGGTTCTGTAGGCCCATGAAAGTTTCCTACTTACTTTTGGGTCGTTTCCAATCAAACATCAGCCTTACACATACACAGATAAGAAGCCGGTATATCGTGTATTACACTAGGATGATCACGCAATATAAAAATAAATTGTGTCGATTATGATGATGATGATGATGATATTAATGTTAATATTTTATGTTTCAATACAGGAAAATCATTATCAACCTAAAAATCCTAAAATGTCAAACTAAATTGTTCGTTGTTTTAAATGATATGAATTTATTTCAAAAATTTGAATTTGTCGTTTTCGCGCCAAAAGCACCCATTTTTATCTTTTGATTGTATTTTCCAGTCGGAAAGACCGTAAATGTCATTAGTTTGTTACTTCTTTTATTATGCTGTTTTGTGACGTTTCTTAAGGATCTTATTATGCTATATATATGTGTGTGTTTGTTAGTGCTTCCAGCTGATTGTGGAATATACCTTTCCCTCATCTGAGTATGGTCTTCTCCTTCTAGTTAGTAGGGTTGGGATGCATTGAAATAGTTTAACTCGTCTTGTCGTTGTGTTACTGATTCTTCGTTTCGTCCGCAGATTTAGGCAATTTCGTAATCTTTTCAAATAAAGCATCAACTCACTTTGTCAATAATAAAAATGCAATACAAAACAACGTATTAAAATTATTAAGATCATGAACTTTGATGCTCAATAAAAACTAGGAAGCACTGGACTAGCCTTTCGTTCTACTGTAATACTCTTCAGAATTACCCACTCAGAATTTCTTGACAATGAGTCGAATACAGAACCTTCGATCTGATGGTGAATGAACAACCTTCAGACAACTGAGAAGTAATTCTATGATGTATATGTCTAATTTTAATCAATTCATGATACTGCTAAACTATATTCAATTGACTTTAGTGTGTAATTGCTTCAAATCCCAACATGACTGAACTCTACTTGTTATAACGTCTCACCCAGTTGGTTTATGATCTCAGTAACATTTAACAATCTATGTAAATCTTCATAGTGATATTAAAAATTACTTACATTATAACTTACCTTTAATTTTAATGATTCAATTTCTAATAGAAGCATACATATAACAAGTATTCCATCTAATGCGCATAATCCAACAATAATCATGTGAAATAATTTACAATCTAATATTCTACTAAATAATAGTTTATATTTTTCAGTACAACTCTGTATTGTGTTGATGGTTACAGTTGGGGTCGTAGTTGTTGTTGTTGGTGGTGGTGGTGATGGTGTTGGTGGTGGCGTTGGTGTTAATATAGTTTCAATTGGGATTTCAATGATTTCATTCACAGGTAATAATAAACCATTTGTAACATCAGATTGACATTGATTTGATTCGGTACTAATTTGTCTACGTTTATGTTTCATGGTGTTTTCTTTTTTCGTAGAAAAGTTCTGAGAGAAAAATAATAATGAAAAAAACATTATTTAAAGATAAAGATGATTATTGAACTTGGCGAAAAAGAAATGTTAATTAGCTATGCGACTAATTGTAAATATTCTGTAGATAGGTGTACATAGATAGGGTGTATGACGATTGTATATATTCAGTTCGGATTATGGATGATGTTTGTTTCCAAGACAAATTGGTCATTATTAATAGTGGCCTGATTGAATATCTGGATTACCTATTCATGTCATCTAGATATTTCAACAAGTTATCTAATTTCGTTTGTTTGCTTGTTTTAATACATTATTATGTCTATGATTTACATAAGTGATTCAGGTGCGTTACTGAAAAATGTACAACCTTCCGTTGTACAAATTACAAAAGACTCAATCAGAGATATCGGTGTTGCTGGTAATATGCAACGAAAAGAATATACATTATTCAGATGTTGATTCCTGAACTGCTAATATCCAACTGGCGACTATTCAATAATAATCGTAAGGATCGATCAAGAAATAAGAAAAAGAAACTTTTTGAAATACTTTGTTCTGAGAATTTTCTATTGTACCAAGAGTATAATAATGAATAAAGCTAATAATGATAATAATAATTTCATTAGTTGAAATCATGAGTCAATTGAAGCTAGACCACTATGGAAAACCTGGAAGCATTAGACTACCGTATCGTTCTATTGTGGGACTCCTCAGCAGTGTACATTCACGATCCCGTCCTCCCCACCACTCGCGAGCGCTTAACCATTAGATCATTGGGCCGGCATCCAACAAAGTTAATGTCTAACTTCAATCCCAAACCTCCTTTTTTAAAAATGTGCTGACGTCCTATGTTATCCGTTCGCAGCTATCTTTAACAGATCCTTCTCATCTAATCTCATACCGAAAATGTGGAGAAAGATGAAGATAATCCCTGTACCCAAGAAAGTATCTGGTGATAAGAATGTGAAATTTAGACCTATTGCAATAACTTCATCCTACCTCAAAACAATAGAAAAATTATTAATACTGCCACTTCAACCTGCGACAAAAGAGCATATTGATCCATATCAGTTTGCTTACAGACGCGAAAGAAGCACTTAAGATGCTGTTGCTGTTCTGCATCACAACATAGTGTTCAACTTAGAAAAGGGCAAGAAGTATGTTTGATGCGCTTTTCTGGACTATACTTCAGCTTTTAATTCTATACCAATACAACTTTTAATTAACAACTGGCTATGTTCCTACCTCTCGGAAAGAGAACAGTACACTGTATTTGGAGGAAAGTGTTCAGAGTCTCTACTGTCTCATGAAGGTGTACCACAAGGAGCTGTTCTTTCACCTCTTTTTTTTCTCTGTTTTTTGCATGATCTGCCATCTTCCACAGAAAACACTTTTTTGAAATATGCGGATGATTTTACTGTATGTATGTCTATCTCTTCCTCTTTACATCCCATAGAAATGAATGAATTTTTGTCTCGTATTGATAGGTTTTCCATGGTAGTCTACTCATGAATTCAACTAAATACCTTAAAGCATAACTAATATCAGTAAAAGCACGATCACAGAATTAAGACATTTTGAGATCATTCAAATCGATAAAAGAAAACAATAACCCGGAATTCCTCTCACATGATTATTTTCTTGAAAAAATTGATGAATTGTTGACCTTTATAAGCAGAGATGTATGTTGACTAACAGAATAATCCATGACGCGCATTTCGCCTTATTTGGGACTCATCAGCTGGATCAGATGAGACTCACTTTATTGTATTCCTAAATATCAATGGAAAAATTCAATCAACCGATGTAAAAAGCCAATTAAAACCGCACTCCATTGCACAAGCTAGTGGCTATCTGGACTCAGTATCTAAGTGGGTAAGGAACTGGTGTTTGAAGCGAATGATACTGGGTTATGAATCCCAGAGTGAACATCACTTCTGAGATGTAAATACATCCAGTTGATTATTCACAAATAGGACCAAACGTTGGTTCTAGATTCTACTACTAGTCACCATCCATTTTTGCTTATAATACTAGTAACTGAAGATAATATCAAGGCAATCCACACTGGATGCACATATGTCAATAAGATATTGATCAATTGTAATCTTAAACATCACCAGGGAGATTCAAACAATCGATACATCAATGAATTACTGACCTTTTTATTTAAATTATAACCATTGAACATGCAATATATAGATTTACAAAGAAAATATATTTGTATCCATATAAACCAGTTGTACTGACAGTGTTGAAGACAACCTCATTTGTTTTATATATACACTCCAAATACAATACATATTTATTTCCCTTTAAAGTTTTAATACTCTAGCCGGAATTTTGACAGATTCTCATACTTGTATAATAGTGATAAATGTATATCAATTTAGGAAGACATTTATTAGACACTTTATACATTTATGTAAATGTATGTTAGTAAACTATAAAGGAAGGCCCAGGACAGAGTGGGTTGGAAAATGCTGGGTTGGCGGCCTATGCTCCATTGGGATTAACAAGCGTAAGTAAGTAAAGTAAACAGTGGGACTATAATTTATGGACGACCTTTGAGTGTCACTAGATTGACCTTCAGAGTGTATACCTAATGACTAGGACCAAATGAGGGTTGTAAGCCAGTGTGAGGAAATAGAATTATAATTTACAATTGATGATTAAGGTTATGAATCAGACTTAAAGCTTTCATCACGAACTGACATCAGCTAGAATGCCATGAATCTATTTAGTCAAATGGATAAGTGAATTTCGCCCCACAATCCAAGATCTGTTATCTTATACGTGATTGGTTCGTTCTCGGATTATAGTCTCATCAAGTAAATAAGTAACTAAGTAACCATTTCATCGACTTTTTTGAAAAACAAACAAATAAACATTCAAACATAGTTCAACAATAATTGATTTGTTAGTCAGTTGATAAGTCAAACAAATACAAATTATGTTTTTTTCCCTTCTATTTACAAATTGTTATGTTGGATAGAATTAGGTTACCAAAACTATTTAGTTTTTATATTACTATTATAACTTGATTTTCATTTAATAGTTGAATTCATGAGTCAGTTGAAGCGAGACTACATGGAAAACCTGAAGAACTAGACGGCCGTTTTGTTCTAGTATGGAACACTTCAACAGTGCTCATCCAGGTTTCTCATGATAGTTTAGCTTTAATTGACTGATGAACTCAACAACTAAATTACTACAGTCTTTACCAAAATCTCCTTCTGATTATAATCACCATGTACTCACTAAAGACTGGCTTCAAGCGTTATTTCCTGGAGTTCTAGTAAGACACGGTGACCAGTAGAGTTCAACCGGCCTGTTGTGAGATAGTAACTCACTGAAGACGTTGGTGGACGGTGGCGCAATTTCGTGGATTGGTTGGAGTTAAACATTAGCACTGTTGAATACCATCTAAGTGGTTTATAGGTTAGCCGCTCGCGCGCGAGATACCTTTTCAAAAAAAAACACATCATAACAAAAACTGATAAAACCAACCGTAAAGATTGAAAAGTCAGGTTGACATCCCTATCGGGTCATAATGCTAATTCAGAGCATGGAATTCGATAGAAATATTTCTTATTCACATAACACCTCCAAGCTAAATACTAAAGATTAAAGGTGATATCCTAATATTCAATATCATGCTTAGTCAAATGTACTAACACTTTACTTCTGATTGAAGTTTGTGCTAATAATGTCGTTCAGTCGGCAGCCACTTTATGTAGAACTTCCTTTATTAATATCTAATCTGATAAGGTTAAGAAACCTGCGAAATTTGGTCTCTTTTTTTTAATAAAATATATTTCATCCTACAGAGTAAGACAGCAAAGTCGATTTGCAAACTTGACTACTTGTAAACTTCAATCTCTGCCATAGTTCCTAAATTTAAGTAGTTTTGAAACGTCTACGTCTTTGTTTAAGTAAATTTGGAAGGTAACTAGTATTGGAATCCAGAGCGCATATTTTAGCCTAATTGGAACTGGTTGGTTCGATGCACACGCATTTCAGGTAGCCATTTAAACTTTGTAATTCAGTGGATAATGTTTTCGATACTTGCAGCGAAAGGCACTGTGTTTGAGTCTCATTGTGGACATCAACACGCATTTATTTACACCCAGTCAATAAGTACTAAACAGGATGGAACACATATTCTCGATCCCACTATCAACCTTACTTAAATATTGTGACTCACTGGTAATATTAGAGGAACATACTAAGGATGCAAATACATCATACGTAATTCTAGTCCATACTACCAACTGGAATCTCTAAACTATTACAGAACAAAAAGAGAGGCATCTGTTTTATACATGAAAACACGAATAATTTTTAGTGATAATAGTTCAAGAAAAGTCCTAAACTATTTCACTATAAGATTTAAAGATATTATCCCAAGTAAAAATAGAGAAAACGTATTCATCTTGGGTCACTTCATATAATTGATAAATAGCACTGAAGAAAGAAGAATATTTCAGAAAATGACAGTTTTAAAATCATCATTTGTTACATCCACGTCATCTGTTACTTTTACTTGGAAAACGAGGAACCTCCACAATCTTCACGACAAGAAGTAAGAACACAGAAGACTGGTACAAGTGAAGATTAATCAACGTGTTAGGGATGCAGAGGAATATACCAATAATTATCATGTTAAGTCTAACGGTGACCTTGGACTTTAAATGTACACTCCCTATTGGTCGATATTTTTTTCACTTGTTAAATGTTGTTTTCTATTTTATGGTACGATGTGGTCTGCTTGATTAGTATATAAACAGTGTGTTTAAAATATAATGGTTCATATCTCAGAGGCCAAGACTTGTGTTCTGGACTCAGCTGGCTGGGCTAGACAGGGAAGCAGGGCCAATCGGGAATCTAGGTCGTCATGTTTTACGTGTCACTGAATCGATCAATAAAGCGCTGTGCATCTAACCTGCAATTCAACCGTTACAACACAACCCAATACACGACAA